GCATGCAGTGGGGGCATGGGGACATGGGGTGGAGATATGGACACGCGGTGGGGACATGGGGACATGGGATGGACATGGGGACACGCTGTGGGGACACAGGATGGACATGGGGACACAGGTGGGAGCAGAGCCGGCGCTGGGGGTGACACTCCTGGGGCTAAGACACGCTGTGGGGACATGGGGACACGCTGTGGGGACACGGGGACACAGGGACAGGGACGGACACGGGGACAGAGATGGACACTGGCCCAAGGGCATGGGGACACAGTGGCGAAGGAAATGGCCCCAATCCCAACGGGAACAGCACCAGGGATTTCCTGATCCCAACGGGAACGGCCCCAATCCCAACGGGAACGGCCCCAATCCCATCGGGAACGGCCCCAATCCCATCGGGAACGGCCCCAGGGATTTCCTGGCCACCCCAATCCCACAGCAATCCCCCCGGGAATTCCAGGACACGCCACCCCTTCCTCCCCAAATCCCGGGATTTCCCCGCCGGGATCCAAAGGCCAGAGGTCTCCGGGATGATCCATGGGGAATTCCATGGGGAATTCCATGGGAATTCCATACCTGAGGGCGGCGATGGCGTCCTCGATGCTCCGCGCCTCCACCGCGCCCTCCTCGGGCAGCCGCCGGTTCAGGTTCTCCTCCAGGGGCAATTCCAGGTGGGATTTCTCCTTCTCCGCTGCCGGGAAAAACGGGAATGCTGGCAGATCCCTCCCGGAGAGGGGAATTCCCTCGGGAAAACTCGATTATCCCGCTGGGAAATCTCAAAAAACCCGGTTTTCCCCTCTGGAAAAGTCAATTTTTACCCCTCTGAAAAAAAACTCAGTTTTTCCCTCTAAAAGCCTCCGGTTTTCCTCTAAAAAATTCCATTTTTTCCTCTGGAATTTTCAAAATGTTTTTCCCTCTAAAAATTTCTGGTTTTTTCCACCCTGGAAAACTCCTTTTTTTTTTTTTTTTTTTTTTTTCCTTTTGGAAAATTCCAAATTTTTTTTTTTTCTTCTAAAAACCTCCGGTTTCCCTCTGGAATTTTCCCTCTGGAAAACTCCGCTTTTCCTCTAAAAAAAAAAACCTCCGTTTTTCCTCTGGAAAATTCCTGGTTTTTTCTTAAAAAAAAAATCGTTTTTTCCTCCGGAAAGGGAAACGTGAGATTGGGAAAAATGTGAACACGGGAAAAATCATGGAATTCTACGGAATTCCAACGTTGGAGACGAGCTTTGGGATCAAACCCCACCCCAAAGCGCCACATCCGGGATATTTTTTTTTTTTTGGGGGGGGGACGGTAGAATTCCACGGAATGGGAATCCCAAACCGCCCTCAGCCATTCCCAAACTTTCTCCCGGAAAAACGGCGGCTCCCCCCATCCCCATCCCAGAATTCCCAGGGAATTCCCGAACCTCCGTCGGCGTTTTCCTTCTGCTGCTGCTCCTTCCGGACGTTCTCCTCGATCTGCGCCCGGGTGATTTTCCCGGGATTTCCCTGCTTGGGAGTTTTCCCTTTCAGCTTGGAATCCTCCTCCTCCAGCAGGCGCTGCAGCTCCTTGCGGCGCTCCAGCTGCTCCAGCCGCCGCTTCTCCCGCTCCTCCTGGGAATTCCCGCCGATCCGGAGGGGTCAGGGCGGTTCCGGGGGGGTTGGGGGGTGTGGGGGGACCCGGGGAGGGAGGGAGGGAGGGAGGGATCCATGGAGGGATTGATGGAGAGATTCATGGAGGGATCCATGGATGGATTCATGGATCCATGGAGGGATCCATGGAGGGATTCATGGAGGGATTGATGGATCCATGGAGGGATTGATGGAGAGATTCATGGAGGGATCCATGGATTCATGGAGGGATTCATGGATGGATTCATGGATTCATGGAGGGATCCATGGAGGGATCCATGGATGGATTCATGGAGGAATCCATGGATTCATGGAGGGATCCATGGAGGGATCCATCCATGGATCCCTCCATGAAGCCATCCATGGATTCCTCCATGAATCCCTTCATTAATCCATGAATCTCTCCATGAATCCCTCCAGGAATCCCTCCATGAATCCCTCCAGGAATCCCTCCATGAATCCCTCCAGGAATCCCTCCATGAATCCCTCCAGGAATCCCTCCATGAATCCCTCCAGGAATCCCTCCATGAATCCCTCCAGGAATCCCTCCATGAATCCCTCCAGGAATCCCTCCATGAATCCCTCCATGAATCCATGGATTCATGGAGGGATCCATGGAGGGATTCATGGAGAGATTCATGGATTCATGGAGGGATTCATGGAGGGATCCATGGATGGATTCATGGAGGGATCCATGGATGGATTCATGGAGGGATTCATGGAGGGATTGATGGATCCATGGAGGGATTGATGGATTCATGGAGGGATTGATGGATTCATGGAGGGATTCATGGAGGGATTCATGGATGGATTCATGGAGGGATCCATGGATCCATGGAGGGATCCATGGAGGGATTCATGGAGAGATTCATGGATTCATGGAGGGATTCATGGAGGGATCCATGGATGGATTCATGGAGGGATCCATGGATGGATTCATGGAGGGATTCATGGAGGGATTGATGGATCCATGGAGGGATTGATGGATTCATGGAGGGATTCATGGAGGGATTCATGGAGGGATCCATGGATGGATTCATGGAGGGATCCATGGAGGGATCCATGGATGGATGGATGGATCCATGGATGTCCTTCCTCTCATTCCCATGGGTCTTTCCTCCTTTCCCTCATTCCCAGGGGTCTCCCCTTCTCATCCCAAGGCTGCTCCTCCTCCCCTTCCCAAACCTTCTCCTCTCCTCATTCCCAGACTTCTCCCTCTCCTCTCCCTCATTCCCAGGATTCTTTCTTCTCTCATTCCCAGAGTTTTCCCTTCTTTCCCTCATTCCCAGGGTTCTTCCTCCTCCTCTTCCCAAACCTTTTCCTCCTCATCCCCAGACTTTTTCCTCTCCTCATTCCCAGACTTCTCCCTCTCCTCTCCCTCACTCCCAGCTTTCCTCCCTCCTCTCATTCCCAGAGCTTTTCCTTCCTCTCCCTCATTCCCAGGGGTTTTCCCCCTCTCATCCCAAACCCTTCCCCTCTCCCGTTTTCCCGGGATTCTGGCAATTCCCACCTTCCTCTGCTCCTTCCTCAGGACGTGTTTGTCCTCGTCCTTCCAGAGCTCATCCTCCAGCTCCTGCTGCCGCCGCGCCTCCGCCGCCGCCTTGGCCTCGGCCCTGCGGGCGCGCGCCGCCGCCGACTTGCTGTTCTCCCCCTGGAATTTCTTGGGCATCCCTCAAATCCTCTGGAAAACCGCAGGGGAAAAAAAAACGTTGCTCCGGGATGGTTTTTTTTGGGGGGTTTTTTTCCCCCCCCCTAAAATCTGGGGGTTTGTTTCATTACAGAGCCGGGTTTGGGGCTGGTTCGGAGCTGGGATCGTTGGGAATCCGCGGGGATGGGGATTCCGAGCTTTGCTGAGGTTTGCTTTCCTTGCTCCCTCGGGAATTTTACAGCCTCCTCCTGGGAATTCTGCAGCCCTTTCCCAGCTCCATCAGGAATTCTCCAGCCTTTTCTCAGCTCCCTCAGGAATTCTCCAGCCCCTTAGGAATTCTCCAGCCTTTTCTCAGCTCCCTCAGGAATTCTCCAGCCCCTTCCCAGTTTCCTTCAGGAATTCTCCAGCCCTTTCCCAGATCCCTCAGGAATTCTCCAGCCTTTTCTCAGCTCCCTCAGGAATTCTCCAGCCCTTTCCCAGTTTCCCTCAGGAATTCTCCAGCCCTTTCCCAGCTCCCTCAGGAATTCTTCAGCCCTTTCCCAGTTTCCCTCAGGAATTCTTCAGCCCTTTCCCAGTTTCCCTCAGGAATTCTTCAGCCCTTTCCCAGTTTCCCTCAGGAATTCTCCAGCCCTTTCCCAGTTTCCTTCAGGAATTCTCCAGCCCTTTCCCAGTTTCCCTCAGGAATTCTCCAGCCCTTTCCCAGTTTCCCTCAGGAATTCTCCAGCCCTTTCCCAGTTTCCCTCAGGAATTCTTCAGCCCTTTCCCAGTTTCCCTCAGGAATTCTCCAGCCCTTTCCCAGCTCCCTCAGGAATTCTCCAGCCCCTTCCCAGTTTCCTTCAGGAATTCTCCAGACCCTTTCCCAGATTTTGGGGATTTGGTGGGGCTGGGGGAGTGAAAGTCCCCAAAACCCAGCACTGCAGAGGGGGAAAAACCGGGCTCACCCCACCTGATTTATCCCAAGCTCAGATCGGGATAAATCCCCCAGATTTCCTCAGTTTCCAGATCCTGGCTGATCCCAAAGGAATCTGCACCCCTCCCAGGCCAAATTCCAGCCTCCCACCCCATGGAAAAGGCGCCTGGAAATCAAAAAAAAACCCGGATCCAGGAAAAAACGGGATTGAGGAGCCTCTATCCCGATCCAGGGGGATCCACAGGGAGGGGAGAAACGCCTTTAATTTGGATAAACAGCCCCAAAAAACGGGCTGGGATTGATATCCAGGGTGGGAAAAGTCAAATCCAAGGAAAACGGGAGCTTTAAAATCAACCAAACACCGGGGAAAAAAAATCGCAGCTTTGGGATTGAATCTTTGATTTTAATGGCAGGTAATTTTTAATGTAATTAAATAAGGCCGGGCTGCTTCATTCCCGAGGTTTTCCCAACCTGGGATGGATTAAATCCTTCCTCCTGTTTGGAACATCCTCGGAGCCGTCCTAAAATCCCTTTTCCCGCATTTTGACCCTTCCTAAAATCCCTTTTCTCGCACTTTGACCCTTCCTAAAATCCCTTTTCCCGCCCTCCGAGCCTTCCCAAGGAGCGGGATGCGGGCAGGGCCTCACCTGAGGGGGGTCCAAAAGGGACCCCCAGGCCTGGCCCATTCCCCCCGGCCTCCCCCGGTGTCCCCGCCGCCTCCGGTGCCCCCTTTGCCCTCACTCGGGGCCCGGGCCCGTCCCGCGCCCTCAGCCCCGCCCGGCCCCGAACCGGCCCCGCTCCTACCGGGCCCCGCCGCCCCGCCCGTCGCGCCCTTTGCGCGTCATCACCGCGCGCCGTCGCCATCTCAATGGCGGGGGAGGGCAGGGCGCGCCGCCGCCATCTTTGTTGAGGGCATGGCCCGATACGACTTTGCCTCTTCCTCGCGGGAGCGGCGGCGGAGGGAGAGGAAGGAGCGGCGGGACGGGCGGGGATCCCCGCTCAGGGCGGCGCGGTGGAAAAAATCCGGGAACCCGCCGGGAACCCGCGCAATGCCCGGCGGCGGCGGCTCTGCCCGGTTCAAAGATGGCGGCGCCCTGAGCTGCTCCTGAGGGGAGTGGGCGGGGTCGCTGTCAGGCGGTGGGCGTGGCTTAAAGGGGCGTGGCCCTTTGTCACCTGCGGGAGTCGTTATTGTCACCCGGGTGGGCGTGGCCCTTTGTCACCTGCGGGGGACAGCATTGTCACCTGGGTGGGCGTGGCCCCTTGTCACCTGCGGGTGACAGCATTGTCACCCGGGTGGGCGTGGCCCTTTGTCACCTGCGGGTGTCAGCATTGTCACCTGGGTGGGCGTGGCTTAGAGGGACGTGGCCTTTGTCACCTGTGGGAGTCGTTATTGTCACCTGGGTGGGCGTGGCCCTTTGTCACCGGCGGGTGACAGCATTGTCACCTGGGTGGGCGGGGCTCACCAGGCCAGGTCTTGATTCCCAAATTCCCCCCACGCCTGTCCATGACCCCTCCCCATTCCAGACATGTCACCTGAGGGACAGCGGCCGTGTCCCCCTCAATGTCCCCCTCAATGTCCCCTCCCTGTCCCCCTCAATGTCCCCCCAATGTCCCCTCCCTGTCCCCTCAAGGACAGGCTCCATCCAGGACCAGCAGCTCCTTTATTTGGGCCAGCCCCATGTCCCCACCCCGCTGTCCCCACTGTCCCCGTGTCCCCTACACGTCGCTCTCGGTGACAGTGCCACCCTCGGGGGGGTCACACCGGGGTGTCCCCTCCCCGTCCGGCCGCTCCAGCAGCTCCCGGGTGACGGTGGCCGTGTCCAGGGCCCGGTCCCCGCGGGTGTTGTCACCCTTGGGGACAGCCGGGGCCCTGACGATGTCCCACCACAGCACGCCCTGGGGACAGCGGCTCTGCCCTGCTGGGAGGGGACAGGTGACACCACAGGGGGACAGGGACAGGTGACA